AAATCGGTGACATTGCCCCTCTAAGCCATTTTGGAAAATGTTCCGCAACATCGGTCCAAAGTTTGAGCCTTGCGGACACCCTCTCGTTACTAATTTCCAGGCACTAGTTGCCTCCTTTAATCTCACTCTGTTCTTTTCTGTCCTTAAAATTTGATCGAAATTGTGCTGGGCTGCTTTCGTTTAATCCATAAGCTTTCAATTTGGCAAACATTAAGGGGTGGTACGCCTTGCTCATACCCGTTGACAGCAATCTAATGTTCTCTCCATTGTCTAATGCCTTTCACCAATATTCTGTCATCATTATGAGCGCTGTTTCACAACTGTGACGTTTTCGGTAAGCAGAGAGCCGATTGCAAAATCGACTATCAAATCTCTCTAATAATTGTTGACTCAGTAAACCCTCAAATACTTTATTCACGGTTGTCAGTATAGTTATGGGTCTATAATTTGTTTTGATTTGCTTGTCATCTTTTTTAAAAGCAGGCATCCATTCTCCTTTTTTCCAATCTTCAGGCCATTCACCTTGATCTATACATTGTATTATAGAGTGTTGTAAAGGGTGTGGCAAGTTCTTTCGCACCAATTGTTAGGAACTTAGGGGGTTTTGTATCCCAACCAGTGGCTCTATTTGGGTTTAGCTGTAATATCTTTTCAACGTTGACAGCATTCAAATGGTGAAAACCAATGTCTGCTACATTATCGGAATCATTTATGATTGACTGTATACTAGAGTGTTTACTCAAGTCCGTTTCGTTCTTCCTTAACTCGTCTTTATCCCCAACTTCCTTCGCGATATTAATAAAATAATCACATAAAACATCAGATACCAAGTCCTGCTTTCTTATTAAATTTCCAGCTTCCCTGAGGTGTATTTCCTCGCATCTATCCTGCTGTTTTGTACCCAGGAAAGGCAGAAAGGTCTTATAGAAATCCTTAGGATTTGCTTTTTATAATTATGCTTCAAATTTCTTTAGCCAGTAGTCTTTTATTGCCTTTTGTCTTTGCTTTGTAGCTTCGTTTCGTAATTTTTGCTTCAGTTCAAAGTTTTTTGTTGTTTTACATTTCTCATAATTTTGTGCCGCTCTCTCTTTGCTTTAATCGCTCTCTTCCAGGCAGTTGTCATGTATGGCACATCTCTTTCTCTTACACGGGCGAAAAATTGAGTTTGCGCTTTTGCAAATTTAGAGCAAATCATGTAGCAAAATCCAAATTTGCATAAATTTGCCAGATTTGCCACGCGTCTAAACTTCTAATTTGCAAATACGCAAAGGCATTCGAAAATCTCGTATCCGCCGCGAAGCCGTATGGTGCAAACCTATTGCAAACACCATGGCAAGTATGACATTTGCAACAATTTTGCCTCGCGTATAAACCTAATGCAAACATGAAATTCGCTACAGGTTTGCCTCGCGTGTAAATCCGATGCGAATATAAAATTTGCAACAGGTTTGTCTCGCGTGTCAACCCAATGCAAATATAACTCACGTGCAAATCCAATGCAAATATAAAATTTGCAACAGGTTTGCCTCGCGTGCAAATCTGCAGAATACATGTTATTTGCAATAGCTTTGCATTCCGTGTAAATTAGTAGAAAGTTTGAAATTTGCTACTGGTTTGCCTTGCGTGGAAATCCAATGAAAATATGAAGGCAAAATATGCGACAGGTTTGCTTCCCATACAAATCTGTAGAAAAGATTGAATTTTCGACAGCAAATCGCATGCAAACCTATGGAAAACATAAAATATGCGATAGATTTGTATCGTCTGCAAAACTATGCATAATTTATATATATATAAACACACAGAGAAGCAGTTGTTTTATCCATGCACATGGCACATTATATTATACACTGTCAAACGTCTAAAACTATGTAAATAATTAGGCTGAACAATTAATTAATTAGAGTTCTTATTTCAAAAATAATATCCACACGTTTCATGAAAATAGAAACATCAATTAGCAACGTAAGAGTTAATTAGAGACGTACGTAAGAGTTAATTAGCAATATTCGCTAATTTTCGTGAAGGCTGTGAACTATCTTTGACTTTTGTATACTGTTTGTCCCATGTGATATGAGTCATTTTCCTGCAAGAAAACAAAAGCTAATTAAAAATATATCTATAGTCATAAGCACGTATAGCATACCTTGCGCGATTTGCTGTGGTTTCAGATTCGAAATTATTGAAGATAAATATGAAAATATATTTCACATGTATCATAATTATTTCTTACGTATTATTTTATGGTCTTTATGGGACACTCCACACGTGAAAAAGCGTTTTCACGGGTTAAATCATAGTTGACATTTTTGTAACGGCCGGATCAACTTAATTCCTGGTTTGGTTTGTTTTGAATTTTATCCAATCTTTTGGCACTTGCCAACCGTAAACATCTGTACAATACTACAATTTACCAGCCGAGGATATATTAACCTATAACAATGGTAAATTGTCATTTTGTTGCGATTGCCATTATTTTAATCACGTATTTCATTATTTTAATACTGTACCGAATATATTTGCAAAAACACATCCATTGGTACATGCATGATGATCTGTAATAGTTATGATGAATATACTAATTTACAGTACATGACTTTGAAGCAGATACGATGTTGTGAATGCCAGCCTGAAAATAAGGTAAGTCGTTTGCAACTTGCCAAAGACCCTTGTTGCCACAATAAAGTGCGTAATTCTTACCTGCTCAATGCCCATGCTGCTCTTTATTTCTAATTGGGGGGTGTGATTCAATGTTAAGCCCTACTCCCCCTGCCCAGGGAATGATTGTGGTAACAGCTAACAGGGGAAATCGTAGGGAATTTGATTAGATTTTGTGCCAATTGCTAGGCTCGGGGGAATTGGCAACGATTCTTTGGCATTATGTCACTTGAAGCAGATTTTTGTAAAAAATAAAATGTTGAACGTTTATGATTGAACACAGCTCAAACAGTTTTGAATCACGTACTTCCGATTAATATTGAAGTAAAAATACTTGCTTATAAGGAAAACTACCATGCAGAAAAAGATATTCTATAGTCACTGATCACCTAAGTAAATGTTTCCAGTCGAAGGCAGCCGAACAATAGGTCATGCTATGCAAATATATATGATTTGCATTATATTTAAACCTTTAGAAATGTCGTGTCTTTACTGGTCTACTTTAGGTTGACCAGCTGGCATGGCTAGTTTTTCCACTGAATGTTTCTCCAACAGTGTATAAGATTGAATACAAATTTCTGTGTTTTATGAAATTTGAGGTGCACTTTCGTGCAAATGGTCTGTTTTGGAATCAGCAACGGTCCCAACCCCATGCAAGTAATGGGCTGTTAGTCGAGCTTTGACAGAAATGCCATCCTCCAGGTATGGTGTTTGCCAGGCCTTTGTGTGTATTTGGAAGGTGGAAAAAATATCCTACTTTTCCCTGCGATAAGAGGGGGGTCCGTGGGTTTTAAAGTTGTGTCGTACATTACACCATAGATATCTTATATACACTAGATAGTGCATCTAATTACTCTACAATTCAAAAATTGAAGCCGTGATTGCAGTCTCAGGTCGTTCCCATAAAATGAGAAGATTCGTATGTTTTCTATTTCTTAAACAGGGAACTTAAACACCAAGTTAACCCTATTCCAAATACTTTTTTAAACTATTCAAATGATGAAAGTTATTGTTGTTTTTAAGCGTTTATTAGCAAGTGGGAACGACCAACATGGCCGCCATCTATTCAAATGGGGGTAACCGCTGGAATATTCTTGGCTTCAATTTTACTAAAGGTGATGCGCTATCTAGTGTATATAAGATATCTATGCATTACACAGACCAATTTAGTGAGATTTAAATCCTATATTAATTTGGAAAACTGGATGTGTACATATAGGTACAGATATTTCACAGCACACTCCCTAACAGGGCTTTTCAGTGACTGGTTACATTATGAATAGATAGATAGAACCTGACTGACGTGAAGCAGACCGAGGTAGACTTTGGGCTTACAAATGGCGCTTGAGCAGCCGCTATTAGTCCATACCTCATTAATGATCTGCCTCCAGACCTATCCTATGTGCCTAACCCACCCTGTCAACTTTCTCTGTGGGAAGAAACACGGAGTGCCCGGAGAAAACCCACGACAATTTTCGGCAAAGCGTTGACTTTTACTCTTTTCACATGAGGACTGGGTTCGAGTCACATTCAGAAGCTCTCACTGAGATTCGAACCTGCGGCCTTAGAGGTGAAAGGCAAGTGCGCTAACCACTTTGCCACCGAAGCCCCTAATGTGTAGCCCCTAATGTGTAGTACCGTACGTAGACCAAAGTTTGCAAACAATCTATATATCGTACTCTCAGATGATGCAATCTATACAAGAATCGTGTTGTACTATACACTATTGAATGTTGGAATCATATTTCAAAGTGAAATGAAATAAAATAAATGGAAATGCCAATAAAATTTTTTATTTTCTTATTTGAAAGAACTTTTGAAACTATCTATTATCTTCTTTTACCAATTTTTCATATCTTGATTAGTTCTTGAATATTTTCGCTTGGAGTCATGTCGTAATGAGATGTTCGCCATCTCATTAACGGTAGTTTTGGTGACGTCACAATAGGGATTAACCATATATAAGTTATGTTATTATCCTATGGTTATTATACAGCTCAGTGGAAAAGACATGCATCCACTTGATCATTTCAAATTTCCTTACATTTCCAGTTTTTCTTTTCTCCACTAGGGCTGGTTGTATCAAGCCTGTTTAATAGCTTAAGAGCGGTCGTCAGTAAATATCGCCTTAGGTGTGTAAAACGTGAAAAATCAAAATCTCACAAACTGTGTCAAAATAAAGGTCTCTGGGTAGTATTTAAAGAAAAACAGTCTAAGGTCAAATGGATTTATATTTTAGGCACACGGCTACAATAATAGATTTTAAAGCTCTGAAGGATTTGACCACAGTCGTTTGAAAGCTCGTCTAAAACTCTGAAACTTAATATAATCAAATAATTGAAAGTTTCTCGATAATACGAGTAACGGCTTCACATTTCAAGGGGTTGATATTTGACTTACGTTTAATATAGAATATTTTACAGATTTTTGAATGTTTATATGTTTTTGGAGAGATTTTTTGTTGACACAAAAATGCCCAAGTTTGAAGGCTAAAATCACCACTGATATGTACCTAGCGGTAACCAAATTATAATCCAGCATGAGTTCGATTCCTTCTCTTCAAATACATGTTAAAATATTTTGGGGCCGTTCAATATTTTGTTTTTATAAAGCGAAACAAATATACACTAAACGAGCTCCAAATGTCGAATAAATTACTGCAATGCGAAACTGTCGATTCACAACCAACGTAAGAAAAATATTTTTGCCTGTGAAAGCGCTTCATGCAAAGTTATTGTCCACCTTAGAAGTAAGAGGAACACATTCACTTACATTCTGTCCAGTTTATTAATAGTATCTTTGCTCGTGTCTGCCAGGGATTAAGGGACGGACCATTAGAAAAGTGATGAGGGGGGGGGATTTCTAAGAGGCAATACATATATTTTTTGTACACCTAAAGAAGAAATTTTTTTTTCTCTCACTTGATGGTTGGAAATATTTTTTTTTAAAGGGGCCCTACAGTAATTTTTTAGTCAAGTAAGTATTGTTTACATTTTTTGTTATTGTCGCTACTTGACATGCGCACCACAGTATGCATGCGTTTTCTGTGTGCGAAAGTACGCATACTCATGGATACTGCATGTAAGATACAGCCAAACGAATCTCCGTGGAGTCCCCTACTTAAGGT